TTCAACAAAAAAGAATCAATAATAAGTATAAAACTAAATTTAAACTATATAAATGAAGAATTTTAAAAATTTAATGAACGTGTTGGCGACGTGTCGTGTCGGTACTTTTTTGAAAAACCAAGAGTCGACGTATCTGACACGTATCGTGTTGGACGCACGTGTCTGTGTCGGTGCATCATAGAACTTGGGGAATTAGAGTGTTGGACTGCATAGATAAATCCTTGATGCATGGTGGGTGAAAGCATTAAAGAGTGGGAAGTATAGTTTCACGTAGTTTAATGTTATAGACTGATTTATTTGGTTTTTCAGTTTACATGATCAAGAGTGACACACATATTATTCTTTACTATGAAGGTAATGGTGACTTTGATTTAATCTTTGTTGATTCATAAGATTTACACTATATTATGCATGAAAGGGTTTGCAAGCCAGTATGCATTGTTCATTTAAAACTTAACAAAGAAGGAACTTTGCACATCCCTAAAAAAACTAAAAAAGCTTTTTGCTGGTGAACTTTACCACATATAAAGAGGAAAAATAATCAGATTGGGTAGTTCATGACAATTCTCATTGGTCGGTTATGGAAGGGGTAAAAACAAAGATTGATTGTTATTACAGATAGGCTTAGTAGCATTCATAATGAACACTAAAATTACTTTTGGAGGAAAAAATGGAGCCAACGCAATAACATTAAATAAATTGCAAAAAAATTACTTTATCTTTGTGGACAAGATTATAAGAAATAAATTCAATAACCATAAGTTCATTGGTGTTTAGAAAGTCTTCTTTTTGAAGTTTATTGACTTCCTTTTGCCTCTACTTCTACTCTACTCGTGAACTTGACACAAAGATAAATTATCTCGAAAGAAAAAATTGCTCTTTTACACAGGAAAACTTTAGAAAGTCTTCTTGCTTTTGCCTCTACTTGTACTCTACTCGTGATCTTGACACTGAAGTAAAGATAAATTATCTCGAAAGAAAAAATTGCTCTTTTACACAGGAAAACTTTAGAAAGTCTTCTTGCTTTTGCCTCTACTTCTACTCTACTCGTGAACTTGACACTGAAGTAAAGATAAATTATCTCAGAAGAAAAAATTGCTCTTTTACACAGGAAAACTTTAGATATGCTCTCAACAAACTTAATTAAAAAAGTATTCATTTGTCCAAATCATTGAATGATTAATCATGGAATTATAAAATTAAATAGCAATCTTGTTAAACAAAGAAAGTTCCATATCCCACTTCCCCAAAGAGTTCTGGTAATAATTCTTATTAAGATCACGCATGAACTACCCCAAAGTTACATATAAATATAAAGACCAAATAACACTTATAACCAGTCCAAGAAAGCACAAATAAACATCATCAAGGGGGGAAAAAAATCAGAAACCCACATGCAGAAAAAACACTTAACAGTACAAGAAACTCTAAGATAAAGAAAAAAAAAATATGAGCAAAATTAAGCAAAAATAAAATTAGAAGACAAAACCTGACCTTTTCAACGGGGAGAGTAAGGCAAGCCGTGATAATGGCTGCAATTAAAAGCCAAAGCAAAAATATTCTAAAAAGAGAGATCCAACTGAATTTAAAAGCCATTTTGATTGAATTTGGGGAGGATAGATATAGAAGCTTCTTGCGCCAATGCCTATACTCC